ATGGCCGCGTCCTCTGCCGCTGCCCCCTCCGCCCCCAGGCTGGACCATCTCGTGGCAATGTTGGAGCAGTTCTTGGTTTCTGTAGTGGGGTTTCAGGCCTGCTTCATCGAGGCAAATCGTCGCTTTGTGTGATAGTAGTGATCAAAGAGTTTCGGGGCTCTCTTGCGCCATCTTGAGGCGTCTTGGGGGCTTGGGGCCTCTCAGGCCAACTTTCGAACGTACTTGGCAATCTCGGGGCTATGTTGGGGCCTTTGGGTCCCATCTTTGGGGGTTCCTTGGGGATCTCAGGAACGCTCGCGCGCGCACTCTTGCTCGCACGGACATGACCTGCACAGACTTAGAATTCGTACGCACTTAACTCGCACGCAGCTGAACTCGCGCGCAGCTGCACTCGCACGCACTGCTCTCGCACTGCCTGGACTCGCACGCACTTGACTCTCACCAGCTGAACCCGCACGCGTGATGCTACCCTCTCCGGGCTTCGTGGTTCCCGGCGCGCGAGACCAGTCCGCGCGAGTCTAGTCCGTGCGAGTTTAGCCGTTGCGAGTTCAGCGCGTGCGAGTTCAGCGCCATGCGAGTGCAGCTCCGTACGAGTTCAGCTCCGTGCTAGTGCAGTCCGCGCTAGTCCAGCTCCATACGAGTCAAATCTGTGTGAGTTTAGTGCATGCGAGTTCAGCTTCTTGGGCAGCGGGGTGCTCCCAGGCTCCTGAGCCGACAGCTTTCTGAGTTTCCCCAAGTCGTCTCGACTGGCCGCTGGAGGCCCGAGTCTTTGCTCAAGACCCACTTGGAGACTCGATGACTCAGGTTCCAGGGTCGACGGTCGAAAACGTTTTCTCCAAACCATATTGTGTTGTTGGCTGAGGTTGCCTCTAGTTTGTAGTGATTCCTCTTCCTCCTTCCTCCACTCTTCCGTCTCCTTGTGTTTTGGCTTCGCGGTCGTAGTGCCTTCTGGTTTTCTGCTTCAATCGTGATTCGCCCCGCTTGTCTGCGTCACGCCCGTGTTCTTTTGGGCCTGATTGGCAGGCACACTTCGCTTCGGTCTACATGTTTTACCAACCATCCTGTGGTGTTTGGGTCCTCGTTTTGCAGAGACAGCGCCCCCCACGTTCCTCTCTCGCTCCTCCTCTTTCTCCTCCTCCTCCTCCTCCTCCTCCTCCTCCTCCCCCGCCTCCTCCTCCTGCTGCTGCTGCTCCTCCTCCTCCTCCTCATTCCCTCCCTCCGAGTTGTCAGTATGGCTTTTCGTATGCGCCCACGCCGCTCATTTCGGCACACCCCTCACACGTCTCCTGGCTCCATAGGGGGCTCCACCGAAGGCCCCAGTGGGAGGGCCCACATGGGTCTCCCCGCCCCATGTCGGCACACCCCTCACACGTGTCGTGGCCGAGTTCCACCGAAGGCCCCAGTGGGAGGGTCCACATGTGTCTCCCCGCTCGATGTCGGCACACCCATCACACGCTTCGTGGCCCCATAGGTATGAATCAAGCTCACTCCCCAGGAATGTAAGAGGCCCGAGAAGGTTTCCCCAGAAGCCTCGAGGGGCCTGTGGTTTCATTCCTTGCTCGCCGCTGCCATTTTTATTTCTCAGGGCCCTTGGCCTTAGTGCTACGCAGATCGCTCGAGCCGCGCTCGCTTTCGCCCAAGGATCCGCGCCGCGCGCGCATCCATATAACAGTGGTAGCCTGGAGTGAGGCCGTTCCGCTATCCCGGCCTGCGGCCGTACAAATTGCAAGACGGGGTCTGGGACACGTCTTCCTGAATCGAAGCCCAGCGGTTTCCTGACCAGCCTGGTCGCGCTGTTGCTCAGCGCCCTCTCCAGCGTCAGCGACGCCAGCATCATCCACGGCAGCGTCAGCGACGCCGACATCTACGATTACCTTACCAACTCCTACGACAGCGTCAGCGACGCCGTCATGTACGCCTCCAACGCCTATTTCCCGTACGTCAGCGTCAGCGACGCCAACATCCACGCCTACTTCTCCGACAGCGTCAGCGACGCCGTCACCAACGCCTACTTCCCGTACGTCAGCGTCAGCGACGCCGACATCAACGCCTACTTTTCCCACCACCCAGCGTCAGCGACGCAAGCATCAGCGCCTACGTCTCCTACGACAGCGTCAGCGACGCAAGCATCGACGCCGATTTCCCCAACGCCAGCGTCAGCGACGCCAGCATCTACGCCTACTATTCCTACGGCAGCGTCAGCGACGCAAGCAGCAACGCCTATTTCTTCAACGCCAGCGTCAGCGACGCCAGCATCTACGCCTACTTCCCCTACGGCAGCGTCAGCGACGGAAGCATCAACGCCTACTTCTCCAACGCCAGCGTCAGCGACGCCAGCATCACTGCTTATTTCTCTTTCGACGCCAGTGCCAGCGACGCGGCTCACAACTGCCTTATTCTTGACCAAATGACGGAAAACTACGCGTACAACGCCACTCAAGCTCTGGAAGCTCAGTGAGAACCTCGCCGTGGCTCATCGTCTCGCATTGAAGCTCGCGCTGAAGCTCAGTGGGACAGCCCGCGGTGCAGCAGTAAATATGACGGGGGCGCAGCTGCGTCCAGCAGCCGCGGTGGACATCGATGACCCCGATGATAGGAAGCGCAATGGGCACCAGGTCGTCATAGAGAGCGTGCTACGACACCTGGAGGCCAGTTTGGGTCAGCAGAAGCCTGTGCAGAATGGCGAGACCCTCGAGAAGTTCTTCGAGTCGACTCAGCATCGCCGACGACGAGGTGAACGGATGACGGATTGGCCCATCCGTTTCGAGACTGGATTGCAGCAGTTACGTGAGAATGAGGTGGACCTCAAAGCGCTGGACGACGTGGCGGGATGGTTCCTGCCGCGCAAAGGTGGGCTCACGGCAGAGCGCCGAGAGCGTGTCGTGGGCAACCTGCCCGACGAGCACTGCGGCTACCAGCGCATCCGCGGGCTGCTGGTCAGGATGTTCCCGGACATCCACGCGTCGGGGCGCCGCGCCCACCCGCGGAGGTCATGGGCCAACCAGTCGCGCTCACAAGGCGGCTGGTGCAGCAACGTTTCTTCCAGCCGCGGGGGGCGCCCCGCCAACGTCATCGACGAGCCGGGCGACGATGGCGACGAAGAGCAAGAGGGGGGCGACGAGGGCGAGACCGACGTCCAGGACATTGTTCGCCAGGAGCTCGAGGCTTTCAGCGCCGAGCTCGAGTCCTCCAACGCAGACATCTCCGAGCTGTTCGACGGCGGCGACTCTGCCAAGGTCGAAGCTGCTGCAGCGGAGCTTGCCGCTATTCCCGAGGCCATGGCCACCGTCAGATCGGCCCAGGGGGCCCTCGAGGGCCGCGGCAAGTCAAGGTCCGCCCCGCCCCGCCGCCCGACCAAGCTACAGGGCCGGGTCGACCGGCGCAAGAGGAACACTTCTTGCTGGGGCTGCGGCGAGACCTGGGCGCTGGACAGGGGGCAAGGAGCGCCCCGCGCCAGGTGCTCGCAAGTTCGCGCCCAAGGACGGCAAATCAAAGGGCGGTGGGCGAGGGGGTCTCGGAGGCCGCCCTCAGCGCCGGGCGCGCATTGCCGAGCAGGTCATGTTCGCGGGCGGGAAGATCGCCATGCACCCGCAGGGGCCAGTCACGCCGCCCCCAGAGACTTGCGTCTCGGAGCAGCTTATCCACCATTTGCCGAACGTGAGCGTCGCGATCGGCAGTGACAAACCCGTGGGCGAAGGCGCCGGCGCGGTCGACGCCGCCTGCCTTTTCTGCGTCGCGGGCACGAAGTGGTACGACAAATGCAAGGACACCCTCACGAGGACGGGGCTTGCCAACCAGATCCTCGAAGAGCCGGAGGACGAGGTCTGCAGGTTTGGCAGCGGAGGTGCTCTTCCGAGCAAGCTGCGCGCCGCGCCGCCTGTGCTGTGCGGCCAGGCTGGCCGCGTCGTGTTCAGCGTTGTGGACGGCCCCGCCTGTGCGCGCAAATGGACCAAGGACTCCGCCCCTTGGCGGCCAAGGGGTGGCGGCTCACGTGGCAGGCCGTCCGAAGACGGCTCAACATGGCCGCGGACACTCTGGCAACGCTCGGGGCGTTTAGGGCCGATAATCTCAGGCAGGAGGGGCGCGCCGCCGTCTCCACATGGATCGTGTGGCACGCCAACCCCCCTCAAGACGTGCCGTGCGCCTTTCCCGAACCCAACCTCGCGGGGCTCCCCGCGTCCGACCTCCCCGCTGCCGTCGAGACTCTCGAGACCTGTGCCAGCAGGAATAGCAGTAACAGGGGATATGTCTAACCTCCCCTTATCTGTGCGCGCTCTGGGGGTGTAGGACCAGAGAGTGCGCCCCGTCTCGCCCCGCCCCCCCCCTCGCCCTCCCGCCGCCGCGGCTGCTGAAGCTCAGGGCGCCGCCCTTTGCATCGGCGGCTACCTGGAAGTTGGGCTTCTTTTGCCCCCCTGCGCCCCGTTGCGAACGAGGCCAAACTCCTGGCCAGATGGCCGCGCGCCGCCCCCTGCCGCTCACGCCCGCCCAAGGACAAGGAAGGGCGCATCATTTTCAGGTGTCGCGAGGCCCCCGGCGTCAGGTGGGCGTGCATTGACGACAACAACGGCGGTGGGCATTGGTGCTTGCTATGCGACGAGTGCGGCAATGCAGTCAACGAACCTGGGCACTTCACATCGACCGAGCACATGAGGCAGCGCAAGCAGACCCATATCGCCAAACGCATGGACGGCCACCCACCCCACGGGCTACTTGACACTTGACCCCCGAAGTTTCATAAAGGGAGGCGACCTGTGGGCCATGGCGCGGGGCGTGGGTACAAAAGAGATTCCGAGGACACAGTGACCAGGTTGGTGCTGGGACTGGGAGTTTGACGGGAAACGCCCCCCCATTGACCCTTGCGTCTACGAGGAGGACTGGGACGCGATGCCGATTGGATTCCCAACGTGCTACGACGGATCCGGGTACTCTCCCCCGCTTAGAATGGTGATCAGCAGTGACATGGTGCAGCGCCCCTGGACCAAGACTAACAGCCCCCAGCGCACGCAGGAGCAGCTGCTCCACAGCGCTGGGCAGGCACTGGCCGGCTCCCTGGCCATGAGGGGTGCGTTTAGCCGTACCTCGGGTCCGCTCGCCTACGCACCGCCCCCCCTCCTGGGCATCCACCGTCGACCCGGCCCACCATCCCTGGGCCCCCACCGTGGACGCCTGCCTCTGGCCACCCTGACCATCACGGGGGACGCGCCGACAACCCCGCGGCGCCCCGCGCAGCCGGAATGCCGGCCCCCACGTCCCCTGGGGCACCCGCCATCGAAGGGCGTCGCGTACAGCTCGCCAGGAACGCCGAGGATTTCTACGGTACCCCCTGGTACATGGTCCCATGCGGCTCGGCAGCGCGGCCCTGCCTAGGACCGGTTACAGGGGCTGTCCCGCTACCCGGCGACTGGGCTCGGCGGCTGCATCTACATGGACATGAGTTAAGGGGGGCCTTCTTCACCGGGTTCTACGCAGACGTGGAGCCACCCGGCGACGGCTCCACCTCGGCCCGGCAGGTCATCGCTAGCAAGACCACCTGCGCCCTAGGCGTGCAGATCCTCACCTGTTCCCAGTCCGACGAGCAGTGCCGGGAAATCCTGAGTAGGTACCACCTGCAAGACCGGCTCAAAGGACATCAGCAGGGCCACAGCGAGTACAACCTGCTGGTCTGGGACACCAAGTGGGCCATGGAATGGGCGGAGCGCGACATGGCGGCAGGCGCCCCAAACCCCTTCCTTATCTCCAAATCCTCGCTAACAGTGGATTTCTTGGCAGAGATGACGCATGTCTGGCCTCCCGCCCCCGGCGCCAGGGTCTCGGGCACAGACCGGAGCTGCCCCGCGGGAATCGCGCTAGTCCACTGCGACGCCACGAGGAACGGCCCCTTTCACGACACCGACGACACAGTTACAAGGCCAAGCCCAGGCCAGGCATACTACAGGGTCCGCACCACGAGGAAGACCCAATTCAACAGGGTCAACGCGGCGATGCGGGAATTCTTTTCAATCGGATGCAATGGGGCGGCTCTCTGGGGCACCGCCCTCCCGCCCATCGTTTGGGCGCTTGTCTTCCGGCACGAGGGCTACGACGACAAGGCCGGAGCCCTGGCCGTGCCGGCCCAGGGAGAGGCGGCAGATCTCCTGCTGGCGCAGGCCTCGGTGACACTGGAGCGCACTATCGACGATCCCGACCAACCCCGTGCCAACCCGCGTACGGGCGCACCTCCACTGACGCCGCAACTGGCGGAGGATTCCCCAGGCAGCGTTTTCCAACGACTGTTGCTGGCCCCATAAGGAGGAACAACTCACGCGCATCTGTAACCGGCGCCGCGCCAACGACGCCCAGCGACGCTGTGTGCTTGCGACGCAGAACGCCCTCCTTACCATCTGCCACGGACCTCCTGGGACGGGTAAGACCAAGGTCGCGGCATGCGTGGCGGGCGCCTACATGTCTTGCCCCCCCCCAGGGTGGGGCGTAGGATGCTTTGGCGGCGCCGGCGGGTCCATGGACAACCTGGCAGAGCAATTCGGAAATAATTTGAACCCGGACAACAAGGACCTGTTCCCGCGCGTGGCAGAGCGCCGCGCACACGAGGACAAGGTAAAGGGCAGCGTGGCCAAGACGATCACCCCCGCAGCCAAGTGCGCCAATATTTACAACGGATCGGATGACGACGTCACCACGGGGCATGCGAGCTGGTTCCGCAAGTACCGTGCGGAAGTCGCTAGAGGCAAAACCTATCTTGGCCACGCACGAAGCGGGAGCTGACCTCCGGGACAAGAAGTTCCTCATATGCATCCTCGACGAGCCAGGACAAACGTCCGAGCTCATGGCCATCATGTCCCTGAACCACGCCGTCAGATGCGGGGCCAGGGCGGTTCTCTTCGGCGACGAGCGGCAGCTGTGCCCGACGGTCAAATCCCAGCAGGCACTTCAATGGGGGCTAGGCGTGTCCATTCTCGCCAAGCACGTAGCAGCCATAGGGGACATCCCCGAGTGCAACGTCACGCTGGAGGAGTGCTATCGGATCCATCCGTCCCTGCTCGCGTGGCCCTCGCTCCCGTTCTACGGGGGCAGACTGATCTGCGCCATCCTGGGCCCCTTGCTGCAGCGACCATGCGCTGAAGGTCTGGAGTGGCCATTCGCACGACCGCTGTCCGACCAACAATACGAAGCAGCAAAGGGCGAGGGTGGCAACTACGAGCCTGACGATTCCCTGATCGACGCCGCAGGCGGATTCCGGAGCAAGGCAGCCTGTGCGGCCCCGCAAGGGAGCAGCGGCACCGGCTACGACGGGGATCGTTTCGTGCTCGCTCGGCTCGCTCACATCCCCTCGCAAGAGGTTCAGTCCAAGTTTCAGGACGGCTACGCGAACATCCACGAGGCGCGCACAGTGGTTGCATTGGTGAATGCCCTCGCACCATGGGTAAGAAGGACCAAGAGCACCATCCTCATACTGTTGCCGTACAAGCTTCAGCTCACCCCCGTGCTCGCTGGCAGCCCGTGCGCGCTTCACGACATCAGACGTTGCTCACGAGCGGCGCCAGGGGACGGAACCGACCTGAATACGAACGGCCCCAGTTCCCTGCGCCAGCAAGGACGGGGCAGCTCCAGCTCCTCTCAGGCCACCAAGGGGCCTACGGGCGGGACATGGATCAATCGCGCCACGGCGGCAAACGGCCTGAGTGAACACTTCAGCGCGATCGCAGAACTCTTTCCAGACCTCCTGGAGAGCGAGGCGATCCGTGTCACCACCATCGACGCCGCCCAGGGACAAGAGGCCTCCCTCGTCATCCCAATGACCACTCGGGCCAACTCCATGCTAACTTGGGGCCACGCCGACGACCGGCGCCGCATCGACGTGGGGCTGACGCGCTCACAATGCAACCTCATCATGACTGCGGACGCAAGGATGTTCCGCACGGCCACAGACGCTGCACTCCATCACCTGAGCACCTGGGCCCGGAAGGCAGACCTCGCCTTCGAATTCCACACCAATCGAGACGGAAACCTGCGCCGGCCAAAGCCGACTCAAGGGTTTTCGTGGACGACATCCCCGAGTCGGCCAACCCTGAAGGGAAGGCCGGGCTCGTGGCGGAGGCCGAACGCAGACGGAAGGAGAAGGAAGTAATCAAGGCCCGACAGGTTCAGCAGGCTGGCTTCTCGGCGCGCGCCGATCTACCGCTCCCTGCCGACCGCAGCTGGAAGGACCTGGAGGACGACGTCAACGTTGCAACGACGAGGCTACTGGGCTGCCCAGCACTCGGTCCGTGCCTGCTATGGTGCCTCGGGCTACATCCGGACCAGTACGGCGTCGCGGACAAACCTACTGACCCCAGCCTGCAGGACAGGAAGCCATGGAGCATGAACGGGTACCTCTTCTGCTGCTCGGCGCTGGTAGGACTGGACGCTGGCAACCTGGTTTGCACTGCAGTCTTCGCGACCATCACGCGGGCGATAGGACTCGGAGTCGCGGACAACGACAGCGCGCGCGCATTCGACCCCAACCTGATCCCGCCCCGAAGGAACCGGCCGAACATGCCGGCAGCGTGGCATGTCAAGGAAACCTGTATCCCCACCGACGTCCCCAGGCGCAGACCCAAATGCTGGCGGCCATCTACCTGCGGGTATCAAAAGCACAATGAGCCACCCACAACGGCCGTATTTCAAGTCTTCAGTGACATGGGCCCGAAGGAAAGCCCGGCCACAGTTCTCAACGGCCTCCTGGACAGCACTGGCGCGACCCTGGGTGCCATCCCGGCCAGGATCCTCCTCGCCCTGTCCCTGCTTATACAGCGCGAACCACGCACCTGTCTGTGCCTGTACGGGGGCGCCGAAGGCAGTGGGGACGTGATCGAGGCCATCCTCGGCTTGTGCGAGCCACATCGCCCGCGCGACAAGACCGCTCGTGACCAGTCGGGCGCGTAAGCAGCTGCACTCAGCACTGGAGCTCCTGATCACAGCGGTGTCCCGCTTAGTCACGGTCGTCCACCACCACCCCCTGGCCAGGAGTGCGAACTGCCCCGCGACCTGGGAGGGCCTAGAGGCCAAGGAATTCCCACTCCATGCCACCCTCGCGGTCATCGAGGGCACCGTGTCCGCCGCCGATCAGCCTTGGCGTTCCATGAGTGCGCCGTATGTGCACTCTACGTCGACGTGATCGGATCCGGCATCGGCCTCACCGACGACCCGACTAAGCAGGCAAGCGGCGTCACCTGGATAGGTGGAGGATGCTCATGCGCGCGCCTGCACCTGGACGCACCCGCCCCGCCCGGGCCGCGCCCTGGAGTGACGCTAAGGCCCCCATGGTTAGACAGCCGAGACACCAGGTGGAGGAGGGAACAGAACAAGGCTGATTTCTACTGCCAAGGGTGCCTGTGCGGCCCCTTCAAGCACGACAAATGCGCCTACGTCAGCAAACGGATTCGTCAAACCATTACGGTCAGGACCTGACCTGGCTTTGCATATGCTGCTGGACTACGAAGGCAATGGCCGAGCGGCAGCCCATCCCAGACGACGTGGACTTCAAGAGCTGGATCAACGACCGCCCCGACGACATGCCTGTTCGAGCAACGCGCGCCCTTCCGGGGCTGTGTCCGACGTCCGCACCCACGGCCCTAACGCCCCTGGACCAGCTACTGGTCCCACTGGAAGGCGACCTGAACCCCTCAATGTGGGAACCACCCTCCCAGCCAGCATCGCGAACGACGACCGCCTGATCTCCCATTTCCACGAGCAGAATGTCGGCATCTGGCGATGCGACGGCTGCCCCCCTGGCACAGAGGGACACAGGTGGGGGCCAGGGCGCGCTTACCCTGGCATGTATGGGCACGCCGCGGACCCAGAAGGACTCCGCGACGGCTTTAACCTGGTCCACGGACTCCCGCCCGTACAGCTGATGAGGGAGATGTTCCTGTGGCATGCGGGCTGGTGCGGCAAGGAATGCCGCAATCCACCAATCGGACGTGGCCCCGTCAGCAGTGAACCGGGTACTCGACAGATCTGGCCCTGACGCATGCCCGAGTGCAGGGGCCAGACCTCTCCCCGCACTGCCGGGCATCCCCGCTTCATCTTCAGAAGACGCAGCACGCCCCAACCAAGAGGAGTTGCTGCGACGTGCGGCCGCCTGGGACGAGGCAGAGCGCAGCTACTACGACCGCCTCCGCACTGCATTGCCACCCCTCGCCCGGGATCCCGACGCCGCGGCTTCCGCCCTGCCACCCACAGGGCGCGCGTCCACAAGCGGGGCCCAGCAGCACACCGCCCACCGAGCGGGCGTGCGTCCCGACCAGACACCCAGCCTGGCCCAGTCAACAAGACCCACCAAGGAAAGGCGCCTGACACCCTGCCCGACACTCATCCCGCCCACCCACGGTGGCGATTCACCCCTCCCCCATTCACTCCCGCCCACTCCGCGTGGCGACGAGCCGACCCCAGCCCAGCCTGCCACAATACCTACAGCTACCAAGTCCGTCGGGACGCCACCGGCCGTCGGCGTGGCACCTGACCCCCCCGGAAAGTGTGCGGAACACGGCAGCCGTGAACGGCTGCAAGGGCGAGTCCCGGACACGCCCATCACGGGCTCCCTGTGCCTGCTCGCAACGGACAGCCCGTGCATCCAGTGCGGCGACTACGTGATCATCAGGAGTGATGCCCTCCCCCGCGCCGGGTGGTTCAGCGGACTGCGCCGAGCCCCTATCGACGCAACCCCTGGACGGAGCGGTATTCGGACCCGTCCTCAGTGTCTTGGCCCGCGAACAGGACGGGCGGACTCAGTTCGTCCAGATCGGCAGCGAGTGGGTGTAAGTACGGGGCATCGGTGACAGGACGCCACGCGTGAACGTCCTCCGCGGAGACGCAGCGCTCCGGGCAGCGGCCTTCCTGGACAGTGCCCTCAGCAAGGCGCGCGGAACGCAGGCGCCAGCAAACCGCGGCTGTCCCATGCTCGGCGTCGACGCCGGGGGAGACAAAGCGACGTCCCCAGGGGGAATGCAAACCGGACCCGAACTCGAGCCGTGCCCGCAGGCAGACGCGCAGGATCCCACCATTGAACCTGCGCCCCTCATGCCCCTAAGGAGGAGGACCCCGACTGGACCAATGACGACCAGGCACAAGAGCAGAAGCTGCGCCTCGCTGAGGCCCTAAGCGCAGTCCATCCGGTCTCCTCATCCTCAGACTCCGACACAGTCGAAGAACACCAAGCCAAGACGAGTCCTCGGAACGAGCGACGCAGCAGTCCCGAGCACGACTCAAGCAGTACCGACCAGAGGGCCGCCCACGCGCCCGCGGAGCCGATCGTGCGTCTAGAGGCCGCGGCCGATGACCGGAAGCTGCGCGCGCGGAGTCGGTCCAAAGTCCCAGAGGACCCAGGACCTGCACTCAACCCCCTCCCTGCACACCAACTCGAGCGCTTGCGCAGCAGGGCGCGGGAGCCAGTCGCCACGACGGCGGTGAGGCGCGAGTCCAGAGATGCCGACCGGGTCCGCACAGGGAAGCACGACCGCGACCGCGACCGCGACCGCAGCCAGGGCGCAGCGGGGGCACCTTGGCGCAAACACGACGCCAAGGATTGGGACATAACCAGGGAGCGCTACTGGGACCAGAACCACGACAGTGGCAGGGGCTCAGGGAGCACGCCCTGGCGCCAGCCAGAATCGCGCAGCTCTTACCGCAGGGGCGATCGCCGCCATGCCGACACCAGCCAGACGCGGGCAACCTTTCGCGCTGGCTGGCAGCGCCGCCCACACGAGACAGCAGTCACACCTGAATAGGCTGCGGGCGGAAGGGGGATGCCACTTCAATGCCGCTTGGCATTCGTGGTGCAGGCGCATGTGCAAGGAGCAGGGCAAAGGCAAATCCAAAGACCAGGTCCCTTTCGACCCGGGCCGCTGACAGCATTGGATCATTGACAATTCCTGGATGACATGAACACCAGCAGCCATTGCGTGGAGGCGTGGCCCCGCAGCGCAGGCGTCTACGTGGACTGGGATCGGGAGCAGAGGCTGTGCCAGGACGTACAGAGGAAAAGGGGGGTCGCCAAGAGTGACGGGCGCGAAGAGGACCAGGCGCTCAGCTCCGGGTACCGCGACACCTGGATTGGAAAGCGCCCGCGGCGCTGACCAGCCGCCGACCTGACCCCCTCGCCCTGCGGCAGCACGACGCAACCGTCCCCGCACTCCCTCCACTTGCGCCTCCGGCCCCCGCCCTGCCTTTTTCACCTGGCTTGGGACCGTGTTTCCTCCCTTTTCCCCCCACCTGCACCCCTTTGCCCTCGTGGCGCGCGCGCTCCACGGGCTGCGACTGCTTGTCACTCCACCTGGTCCCCGTCTTTTCCGTTTCCTCCCCCCCCTCGTTTTAAAATGATCTGGGATCTTCTGTCCCACCTGTGCCCATCGAGGGCCGTTCCCCCTGTGAACACTTGCGATGTGGACTGACGCGACGACGACTGGCGTGGCGCGCCCTGTCTTTACCTGCTATGGGACCTTGTGTCCTACCTGTGCCCATCGGGCCCTGTCCCCCGCGTGGGCACCCACTGTGCGGGCTGGCGCGACTACGGCTGGCGTGGGATGCCGACCTCTTTCCTCCCTGTTCGCTTCGCCCCCCCCCGCTCGCTTCCCCCCCTCCCATGGCGGCAGCGCCCGGCACTGCGCGGCTTCGGCCTGGTGCTGGGTACTGCACCTTGCCGCCTCGGCGGCCCCGCTCGCCATGGCGCTGCGCGGCTCAAGTCCGGCCCCCGGCCACGCGGACGTCAGCGCATCGTGTGTGGCACCCGCCCGTCTTCACGCGCTGACTGTGCAGGTCAGATATCCTTCCTGCACTCCACTGACATCCTGTCGGACACGGACGGCCTTCGTCCCTGGCCGCATCTCTTGCTGGCTGCTTCCTGGTCGTGGATTGGACTACCACCCCAGGCCGCTTCCGACCACCTGGTGGCACAACGCTGCACATCGCCTTCGTGGTGCTCCTGTTCCTCTTGGGCCTCCTCCGCACCGTCCGGTGGCACAACGTTGCTCATCGCCTTCATGGTGGTCTTCTCCCCCCTGGACGTCGACCTGGTCACGTTCCACGTCCTCCCCTGCAGTGCTTGAGGCTGGTGTTCACGGAGTGCCGTTGACGGCAACACCACATCGCTCACCCTCCGGATCTTCGCCTCCAGCTCCTGCACACGGCGTGCTTTTTCTTGTGCGAGCTCCTCGGCACCTCCTGCGCCCCGGGCCCCGCCCTTTCCAGCCGCCCGCCTGTGCCCTGTCTCCCCAATTTTGAGCTGTGCGTAGCCCGCCTAGCTTTGAGCGGAAGAGGTTCGCTCTCGCCCTGCCGACCAAAAATTATCCCAGTGCGACCCTACCTAGGAGTTGGAACCCTTAGGAAAGCAGCACTACTAGTAACAGTAACGCTAAGCTAAAGCTAAGCTAAAGCTAAGCTAGAGCTAAGCTACAGCTAAGCCACAGCTAAGCTAAAGCAGAGCTAAAGCTGAGCTAAAGCTAAGCTAAAGCTAAGCTACAACTAAGCTACAACTAAGCTAAAGCTAAGCTAAAGCTAAGCTAAAGCTAAGCTACAGCTAAGCTACAGCTAAGATACATCTAAGCTAAAGCTAAGCTAAACGCTAAGCTAAACGCTAAGCGAAAAGCTAAGCGAAACGCTAAGCTAAAACTAAGCTACAGCTAAGCTAAAGCTAAGCTAAAACTAAGCTAAAGCTAAAACTAAATCTAAAGCTAAAGCTCCCAGGGGACTGGGGGGAACCGCTCCCAGGGGACCGGGGGAACCGCCCGGGGCGTGTTACACTGCCCGGCCCCTTTAAGCTAAGAGAGTAAGCACCCTTCTAGGCAGAGCCTAGGTAGGGAAATATTCGTTTCGCGCCGAGGCGTTGCTGCGCGGCAGGTGCACCACATTGTCATTTGTTTGCGCCGCGCCCCGCGTTGCAACGCGAGGATTACCGTACAATCGTATTATGTCCTTGCCTTGCCTTGCCATTTTGCCCCCGCGAGCTGTTGCCACGTGGCGGGTGGAGTCGGCTACCGATCACTTCCGAAGGACCTCGAACAGAGCCTACGAAGTCTTCCGAATTCCCACGGATGTTCCACGAGCGCGGCGCCTTGTTTGGTTTGCTCCCGCGCGTTGCCGGGTGACGGTGGGGCAGGGCTTTAGCTGTTTCCGCTCCCAGGCGCTGCCAAGTGACGAGTGGGGTCGGGTAGTATCGCGTCCGCCCCCTGCGGAATCGCACCCGGCGTGTAAAATGGAGCAGCGTTTGCCAAGTGGCGGTTGAAGCGGGATGTTATGTTTTCTGCCGCTCTGCGTTGCCACTTGGCGAGTTTCTTTGTTCTGCGATGACGCACGGTCAGCATCATATAATGGTATTTGTGTCGCCCCCAGGCGTGGCCAAGTGACGGGTGAAGCGCAGTGTTGTTTGTTTTCGCCTCAATGCGTTGGCGCATGACGAATGCAGTGTCGTGGTATGTTTTCTGCCACCGTGCGTTGCCGCGCGGCGAATACAGTAAGTGTTGGTTCCTCCCTTATGCGATGCCGTGCGACGGGCAGGGTCGACGATCGATGGGTTCCGCAGGACATCGAACAGACCCGACGGATTTTGAGAATTCAATAGGTTCGTTGAGATTCTTGAGGCTTGGGGTTTCTGTGGCGGTGCAGAGTTCAGTGGCGGAAAAGGGGTGGACGGGGTGGGGGGGGCCTTGGGCCTGGGGGAGTCCACAAGGACGAGGACTGCTGAGGGAGGTTTGGAGGGTTCCTGGTCGTCTCGTCGTCGTCGTCGTCGTCGTCGTCGTCGTCGTCGTCGTCGTCGTCCACCGTCGTCGCTGGCCGCGCCGGTGGTCGGCGGCGTGCGAGGCCGCCGAGGGGCCGCCAGTTGGCTGCCGGAGGGCCTCCGAGGGCCGCGGACGGAGCCGACGGTGGCGAACATAATCTGATTTATGGGTTCCAAGGGCCCCCTCGAGGGCGCGAAGTTAGTCGCGCTTCGCGCTTCGCGGTTCGGCTCCGATTCCGCCTCATCCTCCTCTTCTCCCCTGGGAGGCGGCGCGAGAGCGCGAAGTTATTCGCATTTCGCGCTCTCGCGCGGCGCGGAGCGCGAAGTTGTGAGCCCTTGGGTTCCCATCCTAGGCTGTGTCATGTATCGGGCAGGGTCGACCATCGATGCTTCTCGAAGGTTGTCGAACAGACCCGACGGATGCCAAGAATTCCTGGGGTTCCTGGTGATTCCCTTGGGGCTCCTTTTAACTCCTGAGGCTTGAGATTTGTGTGGTGTGTCTGGGCTTCCCTGGGTCGTCCTTCGGGATTCCAGGATTCGTGCCTGGCGGTTCTCTGGGTCGTTGCTTATCTCGTGCGGGGGCCATATAAAGGACATTTTGGGTGAATATTTGGCCGTCTGGGGCTCGCGCCCTTGTGCCAACAAGGGGACGGCGGACTACACAAGAAAGGGTCTGGCTTTGGGTTTGGGAGCTCTGCGCTTTCAATGTCTTTGATCCGACACGGTGTCATCCGTGATGGCGATGCTCTTTTGTGGCTGGATTCGGGCTTGATCATTCCAGACTCTAATGAGAGACGACCTGGCTGGGCAGCTGGTGTTCTTCATAGCTTCCGTGATGTATTGAGATTTAAAGACTTGGTATGTTCAACGACGATGTTGCCTGAGTACGAGTACACCAAAGGAGATATATTCAAGCGTTTTGGTACCGCGTGGGATAGCCAGTGGTATGGCAGGACGAACCAGTTTCTGGGAGGCCTTTGGGGTGTGAATGTAAGTCGTCGTACCCGCGCCTTCCTTTCGCAGTTGGAAGAACTCCATGCCGACTTCCATTTGATATCAGACGAGGCATCGGTGACCCCGGATTCTCCGTTCTATAAAAGTAATCACCATGACCAGAGTTTGTTTTCGATGTTGGTTAAAGCAGCGCTTTCACATAACAGTTCTTTTGGCTTGGCCGATCTTGCTATTGAAGACGCTTTGCGTTCACCGCCCGCCGAATCTAGTCCACGCCGACCGAGTCGAGTAATTAATGCTCTGCAGGAGTCCACGAACGGCACCAACACGGATCAAAAGCGTCCAGAGACGGTCCAAGAGCCCCCCCATGTGGAGCAAAAAAGGTCCAGATGCGCCCGATGCTGTCCGTGAGGGCTTCCAGACGGCCGGCGGACCCTGGAAAGTCCAACATTGGATCCTGCAGCGTGTCCAAGACAGTGCAGCAGACATCGGAAACGCAGTGGTAAGTGGCGCCCGGGCGGATTCGCGAATGTATTTTGGGACGCTCCAGAAAGGGCGCGGTGGGAGTGGAGGGCGGTGGTGCTGGCTCGGAGTAGGGGAAGGCGGACATGCAGCAGAAGGAGGAGGAGGAGGAGGAGGAGGAGGAGGAGGAGGAGGGGGAGGAGGAGGAGGAGGAGGAGGAGGAGGAGGCGGAGGGAGGAGGAGGAGGAGGAGGAGGAAGAGGGAGGAGAGGAGAGGAGGAGGAGGAGGAGGAGGAGGAGTAGAGAGGGAGGGAGGAGAGGAGGCGGAGGAGGAGGAGGAGGAGGAGAGGAGGAGGGAGGAGGCAGAGGAGGAGGAGGAGGAGGAGGCGGAGGAGGAGGAGGAGGAGGAGAGCAATATTCAGAAACATATGAAGAAGAAGAAGAGGAGGAGGAGGAGGAGGAGGAGGAGGGGGAGGAGAACCACTCTCGTGATGACGACGGTGTGGAGGGCGATGATGTGAAGCAGGGTGACATGGGTGAGGCAGGGAGGAGGGAGGGAGGGTGAAAGGGGAGAAGGAGTGGACACGACGAGGGCGAGGAGGGTGTGAGTCCCAGAAGATTAGTGGTGCCTCGGTGTTAAAAATATCAGCGGTGTGTTAATGAGCCTGCAGAGCGGGAGTCACGGCAGATATCTCTGAGGGGGAAACCAGCACGCGGATCTGCCACTCGGAAGGTTGTCGGGAAGTTTATGCGTCGGGGCTGGCCTCCGCATGCGTGTGCCCGCATGGGGCACCCTCGGTGCCCCGGTCGGGGCCTGTTTGGGCCATCTTGGGGCTTTCTCGGAGGCACATCTGATCTCTTCCTGGGGCTATCTTGGGGCTTTCTTGGGACCCTGTTGGTGGTGCCGTCATGGGCTCCTCTTGGCGCCCTTGGGCCTCTCCAGGTTTCGTCTTGGGCTCCTCTTCGAGCTTGCTTGGGGCCCTCGTGGAGCCCCCTAGGGGCAAGACCCTCTTGGGGCTGTCTTGCACTCCTTTGAGGACACGTCGGGGCCCTAGACTCCTCGTGGGGCTCTGCTGAAGCGTCTAAGGTCTACGTCCCATCTGAAACCCAAGCTGCGAGAGTGTCAACACATGATTGCTGCGGGCTCCGACAGGCGACAATCTTGTGGCCGTCTTCGGGCCTTTTTGAGCCATTCTCGATGACACCTTGGGCCAACTTCGGCCATCTTGGAAGCCGTCTTGAGTTATCTCTGACCACCTTGGGCAATTCGGGAGGCCTTGAGTCGCAGACGATGTGTGGATGTTTCTCGGGGGCGGGGGGTATCCCCTCAAACGGGATTTTGGACACCCGGTCAGGGGGGACATGGGGGAAGAGGATGAGCAGGAGGAGGAGGAGGACATCCACACCTTTCACACGCCTTGTCACCCTCGGCAAGCGAGGGTCGGCGGGTTCACGTTGGCGCGTGGGACGCTACGTTGGGGCGTGGATCCGATCAAATTGCGGCAGGAAATCAATCGCCGGATCTTGCGACACTTGGTTTGCCGAGGGACAAAACATGACACACACACACATCCTTTTGGACGTCCGCGCTGATTTCTCGGATCGGCGCTGGACCCCCCTTCCTGGCGCGCGGAGCGCAGCTGGGGCGGCGCCGGAGGCGCCGCCAGGGGGGTCCAGCGCAGATCCATGAAATCTGAGAGGGCCGTCAAAAGTCAATGCTCATGCCGTTTCTTCTCCTTCCTCCAGGTATGGATGACAGCGCGCTGGGGCTTGATTCTATCCCAGTTCCAGCAGGATATCAAACAACGGGTGTCCCTACACCAAGCATGCGACAGGCGAAGGTACATCTTGTTTCGCACAGGCATGCCCCAAGAGACCAGCCAAGGTTGAATCGAACCTTTACTGAGCAGTTGCAGAGACTCGAAAACGAGTCAGTTAAATGGGCTTGGCTAGACACGCGGCATCTGTATCATAGTCTCCCCGATGAAATCACGAGTGATGCGCGCTGGAAGAGACACTTATCTCACGACAGAGGGTACGGCTTCTGGTTTTGGAAATCTGCGTTGGTGGCGTTTCTGATCCGAGAAGGGGTCATTCGCGATGGGGATGTTTTTCTATGGCTTGACGCTGACTTGATCGTCCCAGGTTCCAATATGAGACTTGCAGGGTCGGCAGCCAGCATTCTCCAGAAGTTCCGTGAGATATTGCGATACAAGGATTTGGTGTGTCCAATAACAGCGTTGCCTGAGTACGTTCACACCAAAGGGGATATATTCAAGCGTTTCGGTACCACGTGGGATAGCCAGTGGTATGGCAGGACGAACCAGTTTCTGGGAAGCCTTTGGGGTGTGAATGTAAGTCGTCGTACCCGTGCCTTCCTTTCGCAGTTGCAAGAGCTCCATGCCGACTTCCACTTGATATCAGACGAGGCATCGGTGACCCCCGATTCTCCACTCTACAAGGGTAATCGCCATGACCAGAGTTTGTTGTCGATGTTGATTAAAGCAGCGCTTTCACATAACAGTTCTTTTGGCTTGGCCGATCTGGCTATTCAAGACGCTTCGCGTTCACCGCCCCCCGCGTAGTTCCCGCCAGAGGAGCCGAACATGGCCCCACTACGCGGTGAGTCCACACCGAGCGTTGTCTAAGACGGCCTCACAGGGGGCCCCAATCGGTACCAAGACGATTCAGAACTGCCCAGCGAGATTGCCCAAGAGCCCCCCCCCAAGTGTGTCAAAAACGTGCCCAGATGGGCCCGAGGCGAGCCTCCAGACGGCCCAAAGCGAGCATCTCCCAGTTGGGCCCGGTCCCCGGTCTGAACGTGTCCCAAACCAGGCTCGGGTCGGGGTGGGTCTGGGCAGTCGTAAGATCACATTCCTGACGGGAATGCAGAAATCTCGGGCGGCGCGTCAAGCTGTTGGCACGATGCTCACCTCTCAGCGCGTGAGGCACAGAGCAAACAACATGACCCAACACGGCTCCAAGGCGACCCCGGTGCCAGCCCGCGACGTCCCCAATACGGTCGCTAGGCATCTTCGGGGCCCTCCCAAAACATCCCAGGATGCAACGCTGGCACGGTGGCTGGGTTTGCCGCGGGCAGCTGTGGCATGATGCTCACCTCTCGGCGCGTGAGGCACCGAGCAAACAGCATGGGCATATGAGAACTTGCCATGGCCGCGGAAGCACTTTCTAGAAGGGGGCAGAAGGCCCCGTGCCGATATCACGGAGCATTTCTCGGGAGTGTGGGAGTTCGGCCACGTCTGCGCGAGCGGATACGAGATTCCCTTCCCTAAAGCGGCGTCCCGTCCTCACGATTGAGGACCGCACGCGCTTTTCTGACGTTGCGCAGGTGGTTGGTACGCCTAGTCGGAACGTGTGGCTCTCCACATTTCCGCCGAAGGAGGAAGATACGACCTCCTAGCGAGCTCGCGCTGCACCGTTCGCAACATAATACGCCGTGGCCCACACCTACTAGACACCACCGCGGGATTGATCGGGTTGCTGTTTTGGCATCAGGTCGCAGAACGCATTGCACTTCGAACTGAGAGCACGACGTCTGCACACAGTATCATATGGGCGTGCCTTTGCATGCGCAGGGAACACGCGTACAGTCGAGCAGCTGATTAAGACAACTCCTCCCGAAAAGCTGGGCCAGCATTTCCGAACCAACTTGCCAGGAAGCTTGACCAGCTTCTTGAGCACGCTCGCCGCTTGAATGTTCATTCTCTTGATCCTAGTTTCGGCTGTAGTTGGTGTATACTTCGGGTTGGTGTGCAGCACTCTCAGGGGGGAGTCTTATACACCCCCCTGGTGGTCATAGCCAGGTCGGCCGCACGCCTCCTCGAACGACTCTGGCCATTGTCTACGCTCGGTCTCTACTTGGGGCAGGCGCGCCGTCGTTGCCTCCGTTGACGCGCACGTGTTTTTATCTTGCTATGAGCCGCCTATGAGCCGCCTAGTGGTGGTGTACATCTCACGACTCTCGCCGAAGGCGCCCGTCTCCTCGGCAGCCTCAGGTCATTGACTACAAGAGAACCCCTAACCCTAATGGCACCATGAAGCGGCCTAATTGAGGTCTCCGCCTTCGCATTATATAATAGGTCTGGGCGGTTTGGTCTGATACATCGGCAGAAAAGACACCCTATCCCTAATGTTCTTGGCCCTCCTAACTCAGGTCCCCTCCCAAAGGGTCAGGGGTATCTTTATTGCTTATCATCAGGTGCTTCGCCTGGGGTCCCGAGGACGGCAATGGCGGCGTCCAGGGCGTCCTGCGCCGACTCGCAGAAGTACGGCCGAAGTGTCAGGCCAGGCTTGCTGAACTCTCGATGCGCGTGCCGCTCGCCCACGGCAGGGACGGCAGAGTCGGCCACTACCAGACGACAGCAAATTCGGACAGTAATTGCTCGTGCGCGCCCCTGCAGACCAAGTCATGGTGCACAGATGAGAATTCAAGCTGGCGCCCAGAGCGGGAAGAGTCCACAGGCTCCCAATGCCGATGTCAGTGCGTGCCCAGCTCAATGCCTCGACGAGGGCCTATGACACGTCGGCAACGAGCTGGTCAGCCTGCTGCAAATGGCCAGACGTAAACTCACAGCGTACGGAGGACGCTATACTGCTCAGCGCCTGGTCGTGGAACAAGTCGGCCCGCATTAATTTCCAGCCCAAGAGCGCAGGGGCACTCCGCACCGAAGGGCCCCCTCGCCAGGAAGATGAGAAGGCATCCGCTCAAAGCCGGGAGGATGCTCGCCCGAGACCTTCTGGGTTCCAAATGTGTGGCTCCAAGATGACATATTCTTGGCCGCCCCTTGGGCCTGGCCAGTGTCCCAAGAGTTATCTTTGAGAACGTTCGCGTCGAAACCATTCACGAATTGACACGGGTGGCCGGGGCCCTGACGGCGCCTGGATGATTGGATTGGCGCTCGTCCTTCCCGACGTCCCGTGTACGAGGAAGAGGTCCAGAGATGGCGTGCACAGGAGCCAAGTCATCAGACAGCCGAGCAGCAGCCCAGCCGCACCTGGGTTGCCTCATGAGGAGATGAGGCATGTCTGGATCCGTCGATATACGAGTTGACCCCCCATTGGCCATCCGCGCCGCCCTGACCATGAACAGGCATAGTGGCAGGATCAGCCGCCAGAGCATGGGCAACGGAGTGAAGTGGCTGACGGAGCACACCTTGATCCCACAGGACCTGCCGCATATCAGCATGTGGCTATTCGAATAAGGCGGGCCATCGTACCACATGGGGCGTTCCAGAACAGGCTCACGTCTTCGAGGGTCGAAGGCGTTGTCATCTCTTCCTCGGCGGAAGGCGGCGGAGGGGCGGCGGAAGCCCGCGGAAGTAAACCGAGGGTGGCTCCGCCGGCGGAAGCAAACCGAGGGCGGCTCCGCCGGCGGAAGCTGGCGGAAGCAAGACATGCGCCCCCAAGAGATGGCACCATTTTGGGGTTCGGGGTTCTTGGAGCCAGCTACGCATCCACCGCCGCTGGCCAGAGCCTCCTCTTGGGCTCTGGGCCAGCGCATGCTGTGTGTGTGTGTGTGCCGCACCATTGCCATGCCAGGGGGGCGTGTGCATTGCCCCTGGGCCCAGGACGGGCCCGAGCAGAGGCGGCGGCTGTGTAAAGATCTCGCCGCCCTGTGCCTGGCCTTGAAGCCAGGATGTTCTCTTGCAGCCGGCGCGGGCTCGGCGCGGGTCTGGCGCGGATCCGGCGCGGTTTCCTGAACCCGCCACGCGGGACGTGCCAAGAGTGGCCTCGCGGGCACGGCAGGAAGGGGGAGCAGCACCACCCTCTGGACGACGAGGCGCTCGGGGCGGCTCGGGCGTGCCGTGCCGCCCTGCCTCGAGCGCCCGCACTCTCGGCCGGCACCGCGACCCATGCATCCTCATTTCCTGGCCATGGAGAAGATGGGTCCTGAGGGAAACGGGTCCCTGGGCCCTCCCCCGGCCCCGGGACTGTCAGAAGATGACTCCGGATGAAGAGCTGCTCCCACAGGAAGGCCCTCGGGGTCCAGGACCCGTTTCCCTCGGGACCCGTCTCTTTCGTGCCAATCACCAGAAGAGGGGTGGGCATGATAGAGGCGCTGGCCAGCCCGCCAGCGCTGAGTGCCGAGGAAAAGAGCATGGCGCACATCGGCATGGGGAAGCATGCAACAGCTACATGCCCTGAAAGTCATCCGTCAGCAACGCGGGGGGCGAAGCGGACGGTGAAAGGGGGGGAGGGGGGGAGAGAGGGATCAGGGACCAGAAATGGAGGGGAAAGGGCTGGACAACAAAATTTGCTTTGCGAAGAGCCCAACCCTTTCTCATCTCGGGGCGGCTACAAGCAGGACCCCTGAATACACAAGGGCACAGTAACCCCACGAAACGTGCGAGGTGTACCCGAGGTGCCATGCGAACCCTGCCACTGGGGCCTTCGGCGGAGCTCCCTTTGGGCCCACGAAACGTGTAATGGGCGCGCCGAAATGAGCCCGAGGCGCCATGCGAACCCCGCCACTGGGTCCTTCAGTGCAGCTCTTAATGGGGCCACGACACTTGTGCGGGGTGTGCCAGAAGTTACCCGAGGCGCCATGCGAACCCTGCCGCTGAGGCCTTCGGTGGAGCTCCCTTTGGGTCCACGAAGCGCGCGTGGGGGTTGTTCCGAAATGGGGCGGGCCACCATGCGGACTGCAGCTGGGGCCTTCGGTGGAGCGCCCTATGGGGCCACGAAGCGTGTGATGGGTGTGCCGGACTGGACGCGAGGCGCCGTGTGCACCTTGTTATTTGGGCCTTCGGAGGAGCTCCCGTTGGGCCCACGAAACGTGTGATGGGTGCGCCGAAATGGACCCGAGGCGGCACGCGAACCCTGCCACGGGGGCCTTCAGTGGAGCCCCCTGTGGGGCCACGAAGCGTGTGAGAGGTATGCCGAAATGTTCCCGAGACGCCACGCGAACCCTGCCGCTGGGGCCTTCGGTGGAACATCCGACGGGGTCACGAAACGTGTACGGTGTGTGCTGAACTGATGATGCTGCTGCTGATGATGACTCTGATGCCGATGCCGATGCCGATGCCGATGACGATGATGATACTGATGATGATGCTGATGATGAGGAAGATAATGATGACGATGACGATGACGATGATGATGATGATGCTGATGATGATGCTGATGATGATGCTGATGATGATGATGCTGATGATGATGATGCTGATGCTGATGCTGATGCTGCTGATGCTGCTGCTGATGATGAGGAAGATACTGATGATGACGATGATGATGCTGATGATGCTGCTGCTGATGATGATGATGATGCGGATGGTGAGGATGATAATGATGATGATGAGGAGGAAGCTGATGATGATGCTGCTACTGATGATGATAATGCTGATGCGGCTGATGATGATGCTGATGATGATGATGCTAATGATGCTGCTGCTGATGCTGCTGCTGTTGATGATGATGATGACGACGACGATGAAAATGAGGATGATGATGATGATGCTGATGATGATGATGATGATGATGATGATGATGATGATGATGATGATGATGATGATGATGATGATGATGATGATGATGATGATGATGATGATGATGATGATGATGATGATGATGGTGATGATGACGGTGACGGTGAGGACATGCGGAAGGCAGAGGCAGGGAGAGGAGCAACGTAGGGTGGGGCTTCGGGAGGGAATTGACGCGGGCTCTGCTGATCCCAAACTTGGACTCAACACACAGGAGGCCAGGGGAGAGGGAACAGCAGGATTAGGAGGAAGTGGAGTGATGAGGCAGAGGAGGGGATGAGGGAGTCGCGCGGCGCAGCGAATTCAAAACGAGGACCCGACACACTTTTTCCGTGAACGGCGAGGCGGCGAGCTCCGCTCCAGCGAGAAGCTAGAAAGGGGCACTAGAGCCCAACACATGGGAGGTTTGGGCAAGAATGGGGTCAGGGCAGGGGGTGCTGTGAGCCCCAGAGGCCCAGCCTTAGCTTGTCATAGGGGGGCGGTGAACAAACCAACGATATGTCAATGAGGTCGCAGAGCGCGAGCCATGGCGGAACCCCGAAAAGTAGACTGGCACTCAGATCTGCCGATCAGGGGGTTATCTGAGGCCGAGGTTGCGCTTTGCGGCAGTGGTCTCGGCGAGCGCGCGTGTGTCCGAACACTTGGGGCCCTCTCGGGGGCTTCCTGGGAATCATCTCGAGGCACTCATGGGGCTCTCTTGGGCCCTGCGGCCCTCATGAGCTTCTGCTGCGGCCGTCTCGGGCTTGTCTCTGGGCTCCCTCGGGGCCCTCGAGGGCCCCCCCTCGGGCACTGTGGGGGCCTTTTCGGAAGCTCTGTTGGGTTCCTCTATGGTCCCTGTTGTGGCTCTTTAGTTTAGGAAGCGCTCGTGCGTACACGATGGCTGTAGCGCGTGTTTCCGTAGCCCTCAAGTCATTTGGTCAAGAAAGGCGCCCGCACCTTGGGGCAAGCTTAGGGGCTTCTGTGTTTTCCTGAGGACGAGAAGGCGAGAAGGGCACAATCGAAGAAAGCTAGCTTTTGGGCAGAGCTCGGCATTCCCGGGGCCTACTTTGGAGGCTCCGCGGCAGCAAACTTGGAGCCACTTTGGAAGCTTTTGGGTTCATGCTGGAGGCGACCTTTGCCCAATTTTGATGACACGTAGCTATCTGGGAGATATTGGAGGGCATTTTTGGGGAACTCTAGGGCCCAGGAGGTCCGCCGACGACCCCAGCGGGATTCACCCATCTGGAACAGGATTTTGGTTCCCCACGGATGTGTGAACAGGAGGATGGTGTGAGCAGTAAGTATTTTACACGCCATGACACCCCTGACATCCCCAGCAAGCAGGGGTCTGGATTCAAATTGGCGTAAATGACGTTGCGTTCGGGCCTGGTTCAGTTTCAGCTGCATTCGGACATTCCGTATCGGATCTCTCTACACGTAGCGCGGAGGGCAGCATTTTGGGGCTTAGTTCCATTCCAACTGCAGCAGGAGGCCGAGGGTCGGAGATGTTTCTACCGAGCATGCGACAAGGGATGGTGCATCTTGTCTCATATGCACCTGGAGTTAATCTCAATGTGAGTCCTTTCTCTACGGATCAGCTGCAGATACTCCGACATGGGTCTCTTGGCTGGGCTTGGCTTGACAGGCGGCATCTGTACGATAGTCTGCCCACTGAGATCACGAGTGAGGCGCGCTGGAAGAGGCATTTATTACACAACAAACGGTATGGCTTTTCGTTTTGGAAATCTGCTTTGCCAATGCTTCTGATTCGTCAAGGCGTCATCCAAGATGGCGATGTTCTTCTGTGGCTTAGCGCTAACCTGGTCGGTCTTGATTCCAAACGGAGGTCTGTAGAGTGGGCAGGTGGCGTTCTTCATCAAGTCTATGAGTTATTGAGCCATGTGGACTTGGTATGTGCAACAACGGCATTGCCTGAGCACGAACACACAAAAGGTGACACATTCAAGCGGTTCGGCACCACATGGGACAGCCAGTGGTATGGCAAGACGAACCAACTTTTGGGAGGTCTTTGGGGTGTGAATGTAAGTCGTCGCAGCCGCGCCTTCCTTTCTCAGTTGGAAGAGCTCCATGCCGACTTCCATTTGATATCAGACGAGGCGTCGATAGTCCCCGATTCTCCACAATTCAGGGGTAATAGACATGATCAGAGTTTGTTTTCGATGCTGATCAAGGCGACGCTGTCGCAGAATAGTTCCTATGGCGTCGCCGGTCTGGCTGTTCATGTTCTGAAAACTCTGGCGTGGCAAGGCGGGCCAAGCTAAACGACACGTGGGTTCGATGGTCGGCTACTCTTTGTCCGGCCCCCGAATACACGGAGCTGGACATTCGGCTCTGATTTGGCCGGTCTCCGTCTCCCCCCTTCCTCTTGTCAACCAAACTTGCAGGGTGGGTCCTTTCAAGTCGTCTGTGCGTTTCAGCTATTGGCTTCGGCTTCAGCTACGGGTGCACTGCGACGCGCCTAATGGCCAGTTCACCCGACTCGTTTTTCCGCTCACGTGGGTGCCTCCGTCACGCTTCCCGTGTCTTGTTTTATCTTGCTCGCGCCGTTGGTTTTGTCTCTCCTCTCTGCTTCTGCTGCTGTTGCTCCCCCGTCCGGTTCAGAGGATACCGATATCCTCGACGTCTGTTGTTTTTTTACGCCGCCTGGCTTGGACGCGTCGTCACTGCCGTCGTCGCTGTCGCCGTCACCGAGTCGGTGGCCCTGACGATTGGCTGCTGGCGGCAGGGGCAGCGTCGAAACGCACCCTTAGCCCAGTAAGGCATGAGGGCGCAAGAGGAGGAGGAGGAGGAGGAGGAGGAGGAGGAGGAGGAGGAGGAGGAGGAGGAGGAGGAGGAGGAGGAGGAGGAGGAGGAGGAGGAGGAGGAGGGGAGGAGGAGGAGGAGGAGGAGGAGGAGGAGGAGGAGGAGGAGGAGGAGGAGGAGGAGGAGGAGGAGGAGGAGGAGGAGGAGGAGGAGGAGGAGGAGGAGGAGGAGGAGGAGGAGGAGGAGGAGGATTACGAGGATTACGATGATGCGCACCAAGGTGCGTGCCAGCGCGCCTGCGGCAGCGGCCGCAAGCGAAGGGTGGCGCGAAAAAACCACGGCCTTGCCGTGGGGCCATCCTTGGTCTATAACATCGCTCGCGGCCTGGGCTACAAGCGCGGCAGCGGCAACCCGCCGCGAGTGGGAGGTGGCGCGAAAAAGCTACGGCCTTGCCGTGGGGCCACCCACAGTTCTGATGGATCGCTCGCGGCAGGGCCAGCGAGCGCGGCTGCGGCGGCCTGCTCCACGGCCATGCTGTGGGACGCCGCACGGATATACGGAGTGAGGCCGTCGCGACCCGCACGGGCCCGCGTCAAAAGGCCCTTGTCGATCTTAGCCAGATTCTCCTTGCCTTTGCGGGTTAGGCCCCCGCACGGACTGGCAAGGTGCCTATGGTCTTCGGTGGCTGTCTTGCCGCATTCGCGGCAGAAGTACATGCAATACTTCTGCACGAAGTGCAGCTTATGTGAGGAGTGCAGCTCGCGTCCACAGAGTGTGGCCGTCCCCTGTACTGGGACGACCTGGTCACTTGCGACAGGCTGGGGTGCCACTGGCTGGCACGGCGTCGCACAGGCTGGGCGGATTTGGGCCTTATCCGCTGTGACTCCGCAGCTCGAGCACCTGTACTTGTTCGAATGGAACACAAAGGAATGGGGGCTGGCACTCAAGGCGCGCTGCAGCAGAGTGGCACGCTGCCCCTTAGCCTGCGAGGGTCGCTCCGCGACCCACGGGTCGACGGCCAGGGTATCAGCAAGCGCGCGACGGGCACGGCGCCTGATGAGGGCGCACTGCGTATCGTGCAAGTCAGTAGGGGGTGCAGCGCCAACTATGGCCGCTTCCCATGCACGGCGGGCGGCTTCGCCAGCCCACGCGTCTGCGCAGGCGTTGCCTAGCGTGTGGGCGAAGGCAACTGGGTCACGCGCTACACTGGCGGCATCCTTGCTTTGTGAGGGCACCCGCAGGACGTGCGCCGCGCTTGGTCCTCTGTTCTGGACCGCGCGGCCAAGGCGCTGCCACACATCACGGTTGGCTCCATGGGGCTGCAGGTCTCCACCCTTGCAAAAGGGGCATGTTGTCAGTAACATAGCGCAGGTCACTGACTGAATGCTCGAGGGCCAATGCGAATGCTAGGAGCTCGGCGCGCGGCACCGTTTGAAATGGGCCGTCCAAGCCTGAGAGGATGCCCCCCCCCCAGGGCATCCATCCCCCAAAGCGAGAGTGCATGGCGATCACAGCGGCTCCCACCCTGCGGCGACGGGGGCCTGAACTATACTGACCCCCCGAGCCGTCGCCATACAGGGTGAGGAGGCCATCCGAATCATCACACCCGTCCCAGTCCCGCCCAACCCAGCTCCACCCACCGTCCCGTCCCATATCTCGAAATACAGAGTGCGTGTCCGCACGGGCGGCAGGGCCACGGCGCCAGTATGCAGGGTCAGCCTCAGCGCAAGCGAGGGCTGAGGTGAGGAGGGCGTCAGATTTCTCGTAGTCCCCGTGGTCGCGGTTGCTGGGGCACAGCCAGACGCGATGCATCAGCGTCCCCTCGGCGCCTCCACACCTCGGGCAGGAGGTCTCGGCCTGGTAGCCCGCCTCGACGAGGCGCCCACGTGGCCACTGTGCTCCCGCCACCACGCAGAGGTTCAGCGCCCACTGGTCGTACTCTCCGTCGCGCATGAACTTGTTCATCTCGTGCGTCACGATATGTACGTCGGCCCCTCCTCTCTCAAGTCCATCTCCTTCAGGGTGTTTCGCTGCAGCCTGCCAGCAGCCGCTCTCGATGGACTGACAGAACTCCAGGGCCAACTGCGACGGGTCGACCTGCTCGCGTCTCTGCTCACAATCTCCACAGTCCTTGTGGGGTAGGAGCCATGTCTGCTCGCCCTGCTCGCCCTCTCGAGGCTGGGGAAGGACCGTCCCACCCAGCGCCAAGTAGGGTGGCCTGGACGGCGGAGGTGGGGCCCACCACCTGTCCCCAGCGCCTCGTGCTGCTGCAGGTGGCCTTCATGTAGATGATCCGCCAGGCCTTGCCGACGCGCTGGTGGTAGTTCGGGTTCGCGAACCAGAAGTTGAGCCACTCCAGGATGGTCTGCCTTCTTAGCTCGATGACTGGGCCCTTGTCGCCCAGGGTCACGGCTAGGGCGGTTGTGAGACAGCGTCCAGGGACCTTTCCCGCTGCGGCCTGCACGGCCTGACGCCTCTGCTCGGTGATGGTGCGCGGGGCCAGGCCCATGACCTGGTGGCCGTAGGTGCCCTGCGGGTGGGATCCCGTTGTCCAGAGGCCCTTCGCAATCCTGGCCAGCGAGGCGTGCTTGCGGATCTGGGATATGATTCGTCCAGTCCTGCGCTTGGCCTTCTGCGCCCTCTGAGCTGCTTTGGCCGCCGCTCTGCGACGGGCTCCGACGGTCTCGGTGCCCAGGTCGACCGCGGTGCGGGACGCCTTGATGGTGTAGCCCACGCGCTTGAGGCAGGTGTGCGCGTTGAGGGCTACCGCAGCCGAAGACGCGATCACCGTGGTCTTCGGGGAGACCTTGAGCTCCGCCTCGGCCATGCCGTCGCGCAGGATGACGCCCGCGTCGGCGAGATCCCTGGCGACCTGCCTGGGTTCGCCTTCGGTCCTTGCGACCGTGTCGTCGACGAAGGCCCACAGGCCTGCGTAGGCGTAGATGTGGTGGGCCTTGGCCAGACTGGGGCCCAAGTATACCTTAGCGAGCTTTCCTCCGTGCGCGCTCCCAGCGACGATGGAGCGCTGCGGGTCGATGATGTCGCTGACCCACCCGTGCGTGCGCAGGTACCTGGGGGCCATGAAGAGCTGCACCTCCAGCGCGACGGCAACGGGGGGAACCTTGCCTGCGTGGCCGTGTCCAGGAGCTTGGCGAAATTGACTGAGTCGTAGAACTTCTCGACATCCATGAGGGGGGTCGCGTAGGAGAAGCCTTGGGCCGCCGCCGTCTCGTCGAGGAACGCCCTTGTCAAGGCGGCCCGTAGGGCGCTGGGGCCCTTGATGGCGGTGTCCCAGAACTCGCCCAGCTGTCTGGACCACTGGTCGGTGATTGTGGCTCGGATCTTGCTCCAAGCCTTCGGGGTGGTGGGGGGGGCGTGCCAAGTGTGCGCTCCCCTCCAGCAGGCTTTGGAGCCATCGCGCCTACCGTGGCGCAGAACGGCTGCGGCCATGGCCCAGTGTGCTCCACGAGGTGGTAGAGCTGCGCCAGTTGGTGGAGGCCGTTGGGGGACAATCTCTGTATGTCGAGAGGCCCAATGTTGTCGACCCCATTGGCTTTCTTGGGGTCCGCGACGCTGACGGCCTCGTAGATGTGCTGCGGCTCGAT